TGTTTCTGTGGGACCTGGATCTAGACCTTAGTGTTGAAACACTTTGTTTTTGAATTTATTTGTTTGAAAGAGGATACTAGAGACTCATCCCTCTCTTTCTGTCATGAGATCTGAGAAATGTCAGAATTTCTTACATTGCATTCAGGTTCAACAACCTAGTCTAGGCCCTTCTGAAGAGCTTTTCTGGTCCTAAAAGGACCGTGTCCTACAGTTTATCACAATCCAATGCTGTCGTAATCTAGGAAATCTAAGCATAGCCTAGGAATAACAATGACAATAATGATTAAGGTCTCATTCTGTGCCCAGAGAGAGAGAGGGGGCAGCAAAGAGAGATGTTCAGGAGAGAACGCCATTCAGCTCAGCTTTCTTTTGGACATCATTTAAAAAAAGCAAGTACCTCTGATGCCTGGCTAAAGCAAAGAGGTACTCACTTGTAACCTTACCAGCACATGGTGGGCTGTGTCACGCTGTGGCACCAACAGCAGATCTCCCCGTAGGTGGGTGCTCGTACGCAGGCACACGGCCTGCTGGGGACAGAGAGAAACCAGCACATACCAGGGGTGATGTGCCAGAAAGTCATGCCCAGATACTGAGCCACTATGACCTTTTTATTTGAAGAGATTTTTTGATAAACGTTTGTAAATGTGTTGGGAGGGAAAACACCCCAAGTCTGATGCGTCTTTTTAGAGCTTGTCCATATGAAATCTTAGATGTCTTTTATATGAATTTATGCCATGAGAAGATCTCTGTTTTGATGAAGCACTTGACCCAATGAAATGCAAAGATGCTTTTTTGCTGTGCACACAATGGATGAAGGCTGTGCTAGCTGGAGAAGGCCAAGGTTTGGTGGGGGTTTCTTCGGTTTTCTTTTTAGAATCATTCCCTTTGCTGACTTTTGAAGTTCCAGTCTGGTAGTTAACCTAGTTAAGCTCAGCACGTCTCTCATGTTAATGTAACGTTTTGACTGCACGTCCTGTTCCCAAGGGCCTTGCCATCTTACCTGTGCAGGTGCTGTTAAGAGCTATTCTAGCCAATGTTTTCTAATTTTCTCAGAGACGAGCATTCTAACCTGCACTTTGAGGGCTTTGCTTTATTTTTTTTTTTTTTTTGTCTTTTTAATGGCCAGGATTATTTTGTTTTCCAAGTTTTAAAAACCTTAATAGAGTCCTCACCTATGGCATTGTTTGAAACTTTGTATATCCTTAAGTAATTTAACTACCCCTCATTACTAAGAAAAAAAAAAGAGGAAAAAATGCTTTATAAAATTCATAACTTATTGCTGATTTGAATGGGTTGTTAATTTCAGTCCTTTAGATTTTATTTTATTGTTTTAGGTAGGGTTGGGCAAAAAGAGGTAAAATAAAATAAAAAAAAATAAAAGACAACCATGTTTAGCAGTGCAGTGGAATTGTGTTTAAATGTTAGCATATGGTCCCCATTAAAGTAGCACTTTAACGCCATTAAACATTTCTGTATCTGAAATGAGTTGTGTTCTTCCATCTTGGTCATTTGTATCACTTTTAGCCGGCTCCGTTCTTCTTTGTGCCCTTCGGTCTTGCCAGGAGAGGATCCTGAGTGAGTGCTGGAGACTTTTGCATTATAAGTTGCCTGTGTTTGAAATATTATGGTGTTTCCCCGACTCTCCGCCAAAATGTGTCATCTATGTAAGAGTCACAACACACAGTAATCTTTCCATGGCTGAAATGAATGATTTCTGTTTGGTTTGGGTTTTTTAGATTAATTTGTTTACTAAGTCTGGATCAGGTTGTGGTTGTTAAATCTGTTTTCACTTGTGTGTGTGTGTGTAATCCAGAGGCTCAGTACATCTGTTCCTCTTCCTTCTGGGAGGTGAGCTGGCAGGAGCAGGAGGCTGTCACACACCGAGCTGAGCTCTGGGTTAACAAGTGGGGCCTGAGGGTTTTTTTGAAGAAGAAATGTGGCTTGGATTTATGTTTGGGGTCCATATAATCTCTGGATGACAAAACATTTGAGAAAGTCCTCTGAGTGGTGAAAAGTGGGAAACTTTAGTTCTAGCAAGGCCTGATTGATTTATTTATTATTATTTTCTCTGCTTAATTTTACAAGAACATGGGTGGCATCTCCTGTAAAACCAGAAGTGGGTGTACTTCCCTTCAGCAGCTTGCCCACACAGCAGACCCACATGGGTGCTCTCAGCTCCCTCACTCTGTCAAGTCCTCCCCCTGTAAATTAGATCCCGGTGGGTCCTTTTGCTACAGCCAAAAACCCATTAAAACAACCATCCAGCATTTTCTTCCTTTTGACACAGGCATATTAGTGTGTCATCTGGCGGCTGGGGACAAGGTGGAGATGACTATCTGGCTGCATTTGTCATGGTTATCCTTTGGTGAGTTGTCACCTGAAGGACATTTTAATGTCCCTTCCATTAGAGGCACGTCAGTGATGAAGGTGGTCTCGAGTCCGTCTGTCTCAAGAAATCTGTAGGTCAATAGAAATGGGGTTAAATGTACAGAGCTATCATTTTCCAGGTTTTCTGGTTGTGTTTTCCTGTTTGTTGGTTTGTCTCTGAGCTCCAGCCTCATGCTTTGCTGCTCGCTCTTCTCTTTTACTTGCTGCTCCCTGTTTGTAGCCTGGGTTTTTGTGTTGCCTGGTTAAAATGGGGGAGACACATAGTGTCAGTGGAACTGGGGTCACTCATGTCCACTAAATGGAGATTTTTATATATTTTTTTTTCTCCTTTATTTCCCTGTAGTAAGCTTTTGTTGCATATTTCCTGGCACCAGCCACACATCATTTGAAGGAGAAACTGGGATCAATTCCTGGAAGATGATAAAACCCAGGATTTTGGTGGGAGGGTAGCGAGGTGAGGGTGTCCCCTTTGCCAGAGGTTTGATGTGTTGCTGAAGTTGCTTTATCAGGTCATAGCTTGGGTATATGGTGTGGATGTTTACCATAGTCCTGGTGCAAACGTCCCTCCTTATTTTGGGATCTAAGTGAAGGTTTTTAGAGGGCGGATGAAGGTTGTGTGAAGAGCAGCACCAGCAGCAAGGCAGGGAGTGACCCTGCTCTTGGGCCTGGCCCAGGAATGTTTTCCATAATCCCAAGCTGACTGTAAACGTTGGGATGTTCAAGTGGTGATGGTTGCACGAAGCACTGCCTCGGCGCTGATGCCAGCGAGTGGAACAGGAGTTTGCTATTGGATTTGTTTTCTGAACATCTCTGGTGTGGAACTGCGGTCTTCTAAGTTAATGTCCTTTTTTGTACCTACTGAGACCAAGCATCTACTGAGACACTCTCACTCTGGCATGGGGGAAAGCAAATGAGATATGGATTGCCATGACCATGACAATTTAAAGTTGCTACTCTTAAGACTGTTCTAAATATTTAAACTGAGCCAGTCCCAGATGTGTGAGTCACATCTGTGCTGTTCTGATTTCACCAGTAGGTTGCAGTTGGTACAAGGCTGAGGCTGAACTACATAAACAGTTTCCTGTAGGAACTTACATGTAGGAGGAAAGGTGGGTCCCAGGCTGTTCCTCTTGCACAGTATCCTGTGACACAGGAGCAAATCTGTGTTCTCCAACCAATATCCTTTCCGTAATGTCTCCAGCTTAGTGGGTTTGTGCACTTTACACACTTTGAGGCTAAAACTTCCCCTCTGTCACTTCAGTATTTCTAAGTCCTGACCGCCAGCCCTGGGGTAGGTACTGACTCTGCAGAACTCATGTTCTGAAAAGTCAAGCTTCTTACTGTTTAGAGCAGCTAATGAATCTGGGAAATAAATATTTTTAAAAACCCTAACAAACCAATACCGAAACACTTTCATTTTGGGACACTTCATCATTTGTAAAATAAGGAAGTTTGTTTGTTTTGGCAATTACCAGTGCTGCTTAAATCAGATTTATTTTTCCTCTGTGAATTTCTCAAGATGCTTTACTGAGGCAGCGCTCCAAAGCCAGGCTACGCACCGACTGGCCCCGTCCTGCAGAGGAGGAAACAACATCAATAAAAAAGTAAAAACCAAGCACCAGCAGGAATGGCTGTGTGGCCCAGATTGCAGTTTTGGTGATTTTATATATTTTTTTTTTTAATTTAAACAAATGGTCTTCAAACTTCTCTCCCCTATGGCTCAGCCCATTGCTGTCAGCGGCATTGCTGTCACTGACTGCTCCAGGTAAGGCATTTAAGGAAAAAAGCCTCTCAAAGGTTCCTCTTGGCAGCACAGCTGGGTTTATCAGGCAGCCCAGATTGTAACAGGTAACTAACAAATAAGTTACTCAAAGGAAATGGTGCTTTTCCTACATAAAAGCAGTACAACCCTGTACTAGTTTTACTAATTTTATTTTTTTTAAAGGCTCAGCATGAGACCAGCTGGTTGTAACACGGGCTGGACTATCCATTCTTCACCCATTGCACTCTGATGTAAAAGTACCAAGTTCTCTTCAGGATGAGCAAGTTAACAGTCCTGTGACAAGCATTTATTGTATTTATAACACCAACAGCTGAGCAAGCCAAAGTCCACATCAGGTATGATTTAAGCCTTTTTCTTCAAAACCTTTTAAGAGGAGTTTAATCAGGTGGTTAGGGAAAGGCTCATGTGGCTTCCTGAAAACTCCAGTTCTGCCCAGTTTAGTGTGTTTCTGTTCTAACACTTCTGCTCTTTTTGGGTAGTGAAAGGGACAGAGTACCTGTGTCACAGCCACCCACCTTCCTCAGCAGTTGGCTGTCACTGTCACAGGACTATCACCTGTGATGGCTGTAGTACAAACTCCCTTTCTAAAAAGCAGTGAGGTCTTCTCAGATAAATTTATGGTAAATTAAGAGTTTTTCTATACAAAAGAGAATTTGCTGTGCCTGCCACCAGCAATGATGAGGAAATAGTAACACCTACTTCATCTTGCAGTGAGTGTGCAGTACTTTTGATTATTCCATTCTGCCCAGCAGATTCTATACTTCCCCCTTTCACACTCATTTACTGCCCCTTCCCACCCCCCCAATATACTTTCACTTGATCAAATATATCCAGCAGATTTTAAACACTTTATTTAATAAAAGTTAAACATACAAAACTGAAATTAACACACTTTGTATTCATAAAAATCACCTTCTCCCATTATAGGGAGAACCTTTTTCTATGTATGGATTCTAAACTACCGCTTGTAGAGTTTAGCTTGAGTTGTGACTCAGGTAACTGATGGACAGTTCCACCAATCAGTGCATCAACAATTGCTGACGTGACCTGATCTAGTTAACAAATTACAAAATGAGCTACATTAACATAATATACAGGGAAATAATGGTCAGGGTTAATGGACAAGAAACACCCTTTAATTATTTAATGGGGGAAACGGCTGATGTACTCTTGTCCATTAACTCAGCCCTAGATTTTACAAAAATAATATCTACATTGTATACAGGGCTACCCATTAACTTCTTTAAACACATTACGGGTTCAGAGATGGCACCACTACCATAAGTGAGAGACAAGTAACAGAGGAAAGCAAATCACATAGAAAACACAAGAAAGCAAGAGCTTTTACACGTGGTTTCCTGACCGAGACTGAAGGGGCTCAGCAGCACTGTAATACAGCTGAAGTGACAGTGAACACCAGGGCCAGGCAGTTAATTAAGACAGAAATTTCAGCCTCACCTTTACTCCCTCACAGCTAAGTAAGCAGGACCCGCTGTGCTGCAGTTCCACTGGCCTGGATGGGGCAGAACCAGGCACGAGCTGTTCCTGCCTGTGACTGCACCATCCATCCTACAGGACCTACCAGAGGGGAGCTGATGGCTCCTGTCTAAAGTACAACCACTCACCTTCTCCAGCTCTCTAATCCTTGGGGAGGGCAGGGGGGGTATTTTTAAGTACAGTTCTCTACTTTGAAATCAGAAGCTAAATACCTTGTCCTATGTTCTTTTTCTGGTTACATTTCAATAACCTTTCAATAACTTCCTATTAAGATTTGATGAGTATTTAAAAAGAAAAAAAAAAAACCCACCAGTATCTCCTCTGCTTAACTTCTAGTGCAGGAAATTCAAACTGGAATTAAAGTCAGATTCATTGTTTCTAGCACATGAATCATCATTAGTAATAAAGATCCTATCAGCCCTGTTCTGCCCTCAGTTACAGCTGCACAAATCGATCTGCAGGGGATTTGTAAGGGAGTAATTTACAACTTCCTTAGCAATTCCATGTGATGTATAAGCCACAACAGAGTGGAGCTCTCTCTCCCATTACAGCAGCTCTGTAACGCTGAGACAGCAGACAGCACCATGACCATGGAAACGAGGGGGGCTGTTAAGGTGCCATTTTTATACCACCGCTTTTCTTAAGGGGAAAAAATAAAAAAAATCACTACTAGTATGAATAGAAGATTCCAGAGATGAAAGCTGCAGAAAACTGCTGCTTTCAGAGTAACAGGTAACAGCAGTTCATGAAAGCATTTACCTGCAGAATGTATTTTAATGCAACTACAAAAAGTTTAATGATTGGGGGGGGTCAAATCAAGAGCTGGAGATTTAAGGCTCGTATCAGCTGAAGCCAAAGTAATGGTGACAAATGGACTATTCGCTATGTGCCAACAAATAATTTACTTTTAGAAAAATATAATGATAAAAAGATAAGTGTAAAGCCCTGCAGAGATGAAGTTCCACCCTTTTCCCCTGTTACTGAGGCATCAAATGCCTGACGTTGTATTTAGAGGTATCTTGATACTGTGTCATGGGTTTGTCTGCAATTCCGCATGTTCCAACTCCAACCTTGCCAGTGACGCTCTCAGGGGAAGCAAAAATACTCCTCTTTACCTGCAAATGAAACAGAAAACACCATTTCTGAATAATTACTGCCTGGCTCTGAAAAAAAACCAATATCCTCAACTTCTTACTCTCTAGACAGGCACCCTTTCTAAAGGTGAGCTCATCCATGATGTTATCTGCAGGTGAGATAACAAAACTGGGAACCTCTTGATACCTCAGAACTAGATGTGATCATGGTACTCAGGATGTTGGGTCAGGCCAATGATGATTAAAATTCACCTCTCATAAGATGATCTCTATTACAACTAAATTTTTACCACTTGGTCAAGCCATGATAAAAATTAAATAAGGCTTTAAGCTGTCCTTGGTGCCTTTTTTGCACCATGCTTGCTACTCCAGGGCAGTTAATTAGCACTGGGTCTGCCAGGTCATCAACACAGCAAGAAGTCAGGGCTGGAGGTTTAGACAGACCTTGGGTTCCAAGCTCCAACAAACACAACCCAGCAAGCATCAGTAGGCCCCGCTCTCCACACTAAGCACGAGCTCAGCCTCTTGAGAGCAGCACTGCCCCACATCATCCAGCACAAACCCAGGCCTTTTAAGTGTAAAATACACCAAACTGCATACTGCAGAATCCCAAAGATGAACCCCCTTCAAAAAAACCACTTCCTCCTCTCTCCCAAAGCACTGCACAGAATTCCATGCCCTGTTGTTACTCAGGTACTGATAAAAGCAAACAAACCTGGCCTTTCTTGTTTTTAGAATAGGCTCTGTTGTTAAACTGTTGCCACTTGACTTTCTGGTCCTCTCGTTCCTGTTCAAGTTCTTTAATTCTCTGAGCTTTTTTCAAAGCTTTCTTCTTTTTATACTCTCGTTGCTGAGCTATCATCTCTTTTCTGGAAAGAAGGAAAAAAGACATTTTATGTTTGTGCTTTTTCATGTAAGAAACTAATAACCCCTGTAAGAGAGACAAGAACAATAGCTTTCCGTAAGTGAATGACAGAAAACAAAGCTTGTAAATATTCTCCACTTCTAGGAAAAAAAAGCTTTCCATGCCTATTTGTATATTTGGGCATAACAACCACCACTGCCACCTGATGAGGACTATGCCAAACGTAGCAACCGACAGGATTGCATGTAATTAATTTCTGAAAATGAAAATGTACCCATGAGCATTTCTGTATTTCAGAAGCATCTAGGACTTGGAAAATTGAAATAGCCCATTTGAGTGAAAAACCCAAACTCTTCTGGAGGTTTGCAGGACTCTCACGCTACCAAGCATTGGACAGGGATGGAAGGACAAGAACAAAGACAAGCTACTAACAAACTCTGAAATTGTACTGCCTTTTATCCCCCCCCCAAAAAAATACTTAATGTTAAAAATACTATTCTATGTTAGACACAGCAGGATATTGAATAAAGCACGTCTCGCCAGTGAAGGGGCAACACAGCTACCCTAACACTGGGGTGGGGCTGGTAAGTATTCTCTGGTTTGAGCCAGGTCTGAGTAGAGCCTGCACTAGATCCAGGATGTCAAAAAGTAATAACTTTTTTTTCTTAAAAAAAAAAAAAATAATCTACTGCTTACATGCTTGATACCTTGAGATAGCATAATTTGAGTAAAAACGAAGTCTATCATGTTTATCTTGCCAGGATACATAACACACATCATACCAGCCACATTGATCTACCCAACGTTACACACTAGACTGATTAAAGATCCTTTTTCAAGCAAACAGGTGAAGATACTACAAATATGTAAAATTTTCAAAAAGAGAGATACTATTTGATTAACCATTTTCTACAGCTGTGGGGGGAAAACCCAAAACAAACCAGCTTTCAAACTTCTGCCTGTGTGTTACTTACTTGGACATGGGTTTGTTGCCACTGTCCTCTTTTGCTTTTCTTCCCTCTTCCACAGGCTTGAGGTTGAAGAGAGGTGTAACTTCAGCATTGCCATAGCCAGCAAAGGTGACCGCAGCTGTTCCGTTCTCCTCATCTATTTCTTCAATCTCAGCTTCATAACACCTGTAAAGATATCATGGCTGTAAGCATGTGAGTAAAGCTTTAATACTCAGCCCTTCAACACCTACAACTGTCAGCCAGCTAATGGCATCGCGTAAAAAAAATTGCCAGTATGGGCCTTCATTTGCAGGGACAACAGACAAATCAAACCAAGAGATTATTTTCTTAAGGTCAAAGGGTCACAAGTAGAAAGACTGGAATCTGCTGTGTCTGACCTTTAGCTTACAGAAGCAATGGCCTCTCAGTTATCAAGACTAATGATTAATGCTGGGGCCAATCTAATCAGAAATCCTGATCTTGTTTCTATTTCTGGCAGGTCATGGGATTATAACAAAAAAAAAAAAAGACCAAACAAAATACTGCATACACAGAACACAACCTTCACTGAATTCACTGAGAAGTTTTGGAAAATGCCAGCTCACAGAGCAAAGCTTTGGTTCCATTTTTGTCTTTATGAAAAAGAATTAAGAAAAACTGAAGCTTTCAAAATATTCCCCCTTCAACACTTACAAAGTTAAAAGTTTCCTTATTGATTTTTAAATAGCGATTTTGAAATTTTAGCAGAAATCAGTCCATTTCATACTTATGTATACGAAATATTTTGGTCAACCCAACTGACCTCATAATAGGAAAGAGGAAAAAAGACAAGTGACATTGCCAAGATTATTTAAAATAATTGAGTCCAATGCAGAGTAAAACAATATATCTAAAGTAAACAGAAGAATGGGACGTTTCATAGACAGCATTCCAGTTACCATTTACTAAATTAATCTCTTGTGTGATTTTTGTGGGCCAACAGAATCTTGAGTTAAGCTAAATGAAAATACATGAAAACCCAAACTGCATGAGAAAAAAATATTAATTTCAGGCTAGCTCTTCATGAAACACTGGTCACAGGTTGATTAATTCTATCGTTACATTAGACAGCCAGTTATTTCATAGCCAAAAAACATCATTTCCAATTAAAAATTAATTTTCAATTAATGGCATAAACTGAGATACAGCAATCAATTACATATGTATGAATGCAATGACAAATTATTAATTGTACATCCTGAAACCTTTACGAAAGGCTGCTCTGACAGATCAATTCATGAAAGTCTGCCATTTATTACATTAGTAAATGGTAATTTACCAAAGCTACCCTATTTTTATAAGGTTAGTGACAAACAGGACATTTCTAGAAAATGACCCCACATCTCTTCGCCTTCTATCTATAATACTGACCTTTAATAAAGGGAGTACAATAATAGCTAATATCATATTTATTTCCTGATTTCTTTTTGCTTTCAGTCACCCTAGGGGCAGTTCAAACTGAATGAAAATCTCTTACCATTGAACTATTTCATGTAACTGTTAGAGAAGTTTTCTACACTTACTGTCCATCCTCACTCCATATGGCCATACACCTGTCCCCAACCTTCCAGGAGTGGCTGGGCAGAGCAGAGGCAGAACTGTCCGAACTTGCAAGAGTTTCCGAAGGTTGCGTTGAAAGGAGATCTTTGGTTAATTCTATCACTTCCTATAAAAGACAAAAAACCCACAAAGAATAATTTTTCAAACTCTGTTATGTGCGTATTTTTACCCCAAGCTTATTGATTTGGTTTTTTTGAAGTTACTGTGTTAAATTCATAGCTGATGTAAAGTGGACTAAGTTTTTTGTGGTTTTTGTATTCATTTAACTAAGCTCACTCCTTGCCGAGGTAGATAAAGACGTATCGTTCCTCACTGTATTGCAGTAACATTCCCCATGCCCTCCTCAAAATTTCAAGAAGTAGCCTATTATTTTTATAGCATTTCTTTCTAGAAGGATTGTTATAGGCACAAAGACACAGCCAGACACTCTCAAGAAAAAAAGAACCAAAAAATTAACGGTGTGATTGTACATGTGATGTCGGTTATTGACCAAAGATCACACAAGGTGTGGCAGAGCAAGCATTCACAACAAGTATAATTGCAACATTTTTAAGCGATAAAACATTTTTCAGTTTACTTAAATATGTGAATTAGCTGAACTGAAGCACCCAGACAAACCCAGGGTGGAAGAGTGCCCACCCAGACTGCCACTCCGTAAAGGCCTCTCATTTACCAAAGCACTCAGGTGCACAATGAAGAAATTTATTTCCTTAAATCATTTTGATGTGAGTGTTTATTTTTCTATAAATTTCCTGACCTTAAGATTTCAGGCCAGGCCCTCCCTTCCTAATATAACAAGGCAAATACCAAAATAACATTTTTTTCCAGTTCCTTTAATTATTAGTCATTCCCAGACAGAAGCATGCAAAAGTCCCTCCCCAGCTTCCTGTCAATATTATAGTCTTATTCTGTGCAATCAAAACCACTGGTTTTCACAACTTTTTAAAAGGAGCCAGTACGATTTAAACTTTCTGCACGAGGGAAAGCAACCCTGCAGTTCCTTGAGTATCCCAGCATGAACCACTGTCACTCTCCTAACAGTAAATATTTAAATTAGGGGAGGGTCACAGGTAAACTGAGGCTCAGCGAAGCCTGAACTTTCCCCATGGTTTCCCATCCTAAAGCTGTTCTTCTTTCCTTAAGAACCTCAAGGATCATAAGCGGTTCCCAAATAAGAACTTAATACAATATAAACTTACGTGCTTTTTTATGTGATTAACTATGCAACTGGCATGAATGGCCTGACAGTTCCTTTCTGTTGCAGCTGTTAATGTCTGAATTTCAAACACCTTCCTAACAAAAGTTCTGCTCTTTGTTTTAGAGGAGCTGCTAGTTACTAAGTGCAACAGTAAGCACAATGAGTAGCAACTGTAAGCACAGAAACATGCTCACAATTACCTCTACCTGCTCTCGTCTCCCTTTTCCCCTAACACTACAGATCAACTAGAACAGATTTTGATTATCAAAATACCTGACTTGAAAGCACACCACAGAACATACAGCATTAACTTAATTTTCCCTTTCAGATGCAAAATCCTCAGCATACAGATAACTATATTCTACAAATCCAAGAGGCATCATGCTTTGAAGTAGGTATCTTAACTCAGCAGGGCAAACACGAATACAAATACATCAGGCAGGAGCTGCCTGAACATGAGTGTTCCATCTATGCAGACTACCAGTAATACCAAACTGGTGACTTATTCTTGCCACACTCATAGATGGCTTATTGTAGAGCTCAAATGTGCACAGTTTCAGACAAGTCTACCAAAGTTTCTTTAAATTTGATGAAGTTGCTTACACGCTAGGCTATAAATAGCAAACTTTTGGTAAAAATCTTCATCTAATAGCCACACACGTGTGCTAAGCACACAAGATAGACATGTTAATTTTATTGCCATACATGAGACCACTGAATAAGCAAAATAGCTCATTCAGAGAAAATTTCTGAGCAGAAGTTTGACTCCCCCAGCAGCTCAGTAGAGCCAAAGGGGTTGATCGGTACGGCTGGCTGCCACGTCCCCGTGACACCAAGGTGTGACTCGCAGACAATACTAGTTAGGAGTTTGCCAAGAACTTTTCCTGACCAACTGGTCTTTACAAAGGCAGACAGAGCTCTGCACTCCAGAACAGGACACCCACAGATAATCATCTCCAATTACACAAGATGAGGGCTGCCCTCCATTCTACTCGATACAAAAGGTAAGTTTGGTCCTTAGGTGCAGGGACAGCCCTAGGAGTGCTTCAGTGAAATAGTTATAAAATTTCTTCTAATATTTATTTTAACCTTGTTACCCAGGAATAAGCTAAAACAAATGCACTAGAGCACCATTATTATTTAAAAAAAAGTTTCAATTACATATAACAATCTTTTTGAACAGGCAAAAAGCTATTTAGTTGGGACACTGAGGCATCAAACCCATTTTTACAGTCGTTAGGTTGGCAATAATATTAAGTCTGCAAAACATTATGTCATTTTCAAGGCGGAACATATGGATAGCAAACCTTTTGGGGACGAAAGTGTAAAGATCTTCCCCATTCTGTGCAGAAAGCTTTTATAAAAAAGTTTGCAAGTTGTCCTTTCACATCAATGATCTCTGCATATCAAAGCCGAGGTCGTGTTGGTATCGGAAATATCATCCCATATGGGTTTTGCTGTGCATTTTAAAAATATAAAAATATACACATGCTTTTAACAGTGTACAACGAAGGACATTAAGATGATCTATAAAGTGCCTTGTGGGCACAAAGCCTCTGTAATTTAAAAGGAATTCTAAACATCACCGATTTGAGGCATAGTTGTACTTTGGTTGAAGCACCATTTTTATTGCTGTTATTTCCACACCAAATCTTGTACTAGGTAATTTGATATATTTTTAGATCTGATAGCTAAAGCAATCCACAACAGAAATGAAGCAGCATCTTGCACTCTCTTGATAAATTTTAACAGCACTGCTGTTTGCTTTTTTTTTAATATGCCAATGTGTCTTTATATGCACAAGAATCTAAAAGACCACTTATCAACTTAAAATTGGGCCTGTGGTCAAAAATACCCTCAAGACTAGAAGTGGTTTTTAGCTCTTAAGAATGTGAACGCTCTCAAATGTCTTAAAAAATGCAAGTGGCAAATGAAGAAAATGACTCTCTTCCTTTCTTATAGGAAAACCTTAACACAATCAAGGCTCAGATGTAGAAGGAATACTGAAGTACACCCTAAAGCTTTTATCATTGCAAATGCACGCAATGAATAAACAGGCTCTGGATCAAATTATTTTGACAATTCAAAAATAAGCAGAAAGGCGTAACGTTAAGCCTAGTCCTCACCCTTCAGCACAGTAAAAGCAAAAGAAAAATGATCATTTTCTAATAAATGCTTTTTAAAAATAAAGAAAGAGAGACAGTAAAGACAGCACTGGCATATCTTCCATCACTCTGGCTGAAGTTTTTAGCAGAAGAGTTCACTACGTAAATTAGCACACCTTTGTTACTGATCTACAAGACCAGTTTAAAATATGACACACCGGGTTTTTTCAAACCAACCCTACCATAATTGTCTCAAAGTATGTCAGAAGAAAGTAAAAAATCCACCAAGTATATATTTTTGTTGCAACGTAATTATTTAGGAAAGATGAAACACCATTAAAGACCTAAAAGTTTCAGCTTTTTATACCCTCAAGTTCTCACCTGTAAGTCTTTCTTCAGTTTTAGTAAATCTTCATTTTCTGCATTGCCAGATAAGGCAGCCTCGACTTGCTGAAGCTGAGCTTTGTAGCTCGCCAACTGCTTAGCAAGGTCCTCTGACATCTGCAAGAAATGTAGGCACACACAAACACATCAAAACAACAGGGCTGCTGCTTCACAATCACATCTTGTGGTTCAAGTAAAGCGATGTTGGTAAATAAATAACATGAAAAGCTATTACTGAATTATTAAAAATACAACTCAGTTTCAGTAATGCACTATTTGATTACAGATAGTTACTCACCTTAATCTTTTGGACCGTTCAGCTACCCCCAAGCAATTAAACAGATAGAAAGCTTAAACACGTGCCTGCGTGCGTGCACAGGGAGAACGCCTGACTTACAGTAGGTAAGCAGCCTTTTTAAGCAGCGGCGAAATTACCCGCATCTTTAGGAAACTGCCGCGCACTACCAGTTTTTCCCCTCCGGTGGCCACAAGCCACAGCCCGCCCGGTCACAGCGGCGAGATCCCCAGCCGCACCGGGGACCCGGCCCCTCCCGGGGGGCTCCGGGAAGCCAACCTCCGGCAGCGAGCCCGGCCCACGGCCACCCGCTCTTTGTCGGACCTAGCCAGGCCACTCGGGGAACCGGGAGGAGGGATGGCCCGTGAGGAAGGGCCCGCGCCGGCGGACAGGCCCAGGCCCAGGCCTAAGGCGAGGCCTAGGCCCGGGCTCCCCCGAAGCGGGAAGGCGGAGACCGCCGGGCGGCAGAGGGGAAGGCGCGGGGGCGGCGGGCAGCCGCCGATTCTCACCTCGGCGGGCGTACGGAGCCCGGGGCGGGCGGGGAGGGTGGGGGACGAGCGGGTGTCACCGCTCCGGGTCCCGTTGAGGCCGCGGCCGCTCCCGTCTCCTTCGTCTCAGGCCGGGGG